TGTTGCCAGTCATTAACAACTGAAAATCAATGAAAAATTAAATAAACATCTCTGAGTGTATAATGTAAATCAGTGGAACAATATTACTGGTTTTACATGTAACATTTGATGAACATGTCAACTATGTTAAGGTGAATCTGTAGAGGTTAATGACATCATGCTAAATATAAAGTAGAATGAGGTAAGTATATGAGAGAGCACAAAAACCAGAGAATTTTTTCTAGTTTAGGGTATCAAGGAAGACTGCATGGAAGAAAAGGTATTTAAACAACATCTAGAGGTTTGAATAGAATGTTAATATAGGGGAAGGACCTCTAAGGTGTGGGAAAGACTGGAGAGGAGGCTTGGAAAACTGCAATTCGTCAGATTGCTGCTGTACTTCTGAAACTTTAATGTGCATAAGAATTCTCACGGATCTTGTTAAAATGCAAATTCTAATCCAATAGGTCTAGGATAAGCCTGAGAGTCTACATTTCTAATAAGCTCCCAGGGGATTCTGGAACTGCTGATTCAAGGACCTCGCTTTGAGTTGCAAGGTTCTAGTCTAAGGAAAATGATGATCCAAGGAGATTAGTGAGAAATGAGATGATCAGGTATGCTTGAGGCAGGTTTTAGACAGGCACTTGAATGTCTTGCTAAGGAATTTGGACTTTATTGTACACAAAATGAAGTCATTGAAAGTTTCTAGAACAAAGGTTTTAGTGCATCAGGATGATTAATCTGGCAATAGGACATAATATAAAATAGAGGTCACATACACTGTGGGCCAGTTTGGAGGCTAATGCAGTGGTATATCCTTATACTAAGTATTATTGTGTATGTGCTTTATGCAGAGCACTGTCAAACTCCAGAGCAGCAGTTCTCAGACTCCATTGTGCATAGGATTTACCTAGGGAGCATGTTTTTAATGCATATTTCTAGTCCCTCACACACTCGAATTTCTATTTTAAAACCACACAACTTCTTTTCTTACATATACAGGTTAAGCAGTGTTATAGGGAATACTGAGTTAAAAACAAAACAAAACAAAATAAAACAAAACAATTTTCTGCTGGCCCTTTCTATCTGCTGTTTTTGGTTTCTGTCCTTATGGGAGATGAAGGAAACAGAGAAAGAAGGAAACAGATTATTTTGCAGCTAGGGGAACCTAGGAAGGCATAGTGGGAGGAAATGGCATATTAGGCCTTGAAAGATGTGTAGGATTTGGACCTGTGGTGGGGAAAGACCTTTCACGTGGTGGAAATAATAAAATCAAGAATGCATAGAAGTTGTTTAGTTAAAGATATCTGAGTAATCAAAAACATTACAAAGATAGGTTGAGGCCAGATACTGAAAAGCCTTTTAAAATCTTTGTTTTTAAGTTTAGATTTTATTTTGTTGGCAATGGAGAATACCGAAGAATTTCGACAGGTCCGTGAAATGACCAGAGGTATCATTTAGGGAGTACAGTCTGGTGGCCATATATAGAATGAAAGAAAGAAGGCAGGGAGAACAAGATGGAGACTACCACAATAGGTTATGGGGAGAGTAAGCAGGGTCTGAGATTTAGGATAATGGACCCGCAAAATAGTGGGGAGGAGAGCAGACTGAAGAGAGGATACAAAAATAGAACGAATGGGTAATTAAATGTGGGGTACAAACAAGAGGAAGGAAAGATGACTGTAAACATTCTAGCCTGAGTAACTGAGAAGATACCTAGGAGGCCTTTGGGAATAGAGGACTGAAGAAGGGGAGAGAGATTGCACCTGGAGATATATATTTGGGGATTAATCATATAAAATGCTAGTTGAAACCTTAAGAGTGGATGAAATTGCCGTGGTGTAGAGAGAAGAAAAAAGAGGATTAAGGATGGTATTTAAGAGTCAGAAGGAAGAAAAAGATCTAGGAAAAAGCAATCAGAAAGGTAAGGAAAGTAGGTACAGTTTCATTAAAGAAATAGAGGTATAGAAGAACAAGGAATGGTCAGTAGCATCAAGGGCTACAGAGAAGTTGGGGTAAATAGCATACAAAGGTCATTAGATTTAGGAATCAGGAGATTATCTTCAGAGGAGCAGATTCGATAAATTATGGAGGCCGAAGCCAGATTACAGGGAATTTTACATCAGTTTTGAGGATGGAGGGACAGGTAAGCATAGATTACTTTTGTAATAAATCTATCTATGAAAGAATGTTGAGAGAGGATGAATGTAGGTATGATGAGATGAGAGACTAAAATAAATTACAAAGGGAATGGAAAAGAGGAGTTGGCATCTAGAGAGGTTGACTTGATGTGGAGATTGAAAGGAGAAGAATTCCAGTTTCAGGACTTGGAGACTGGAAGAAGGAAGACACCATTTGTAAATATAAAGAAGTCATACATTAGAAGCAGTTTGGGGTTCAAAGATTACAAGTTTGATTTTAGACATGTTTATTAACATTTTCAAAGGATACGAAGTAGAATGCCCCGCTCTGCTCCAGTAAATCTACCTTCCAAGGGATGGAATTAATCTCTTCCTTAGAGCAGACTAGTGTCTTTCCTGATAGTTTTGGGGGACCATATTTGGAGGCCCGGAGATAAACCCAATAATTTCTCAGGAATCCCATTTGTATCTCAGATACTAATATATTCTGATACTCAACTCTGTCCACATGGTAAACCATATGGATTGTTGCTCCCCAAAACCACGCAGAGAGGCCATCCAAGTCTCTTATCTAAAACTGATTTAAGACTCTAAAGGCAAACCAACATCTATACCAGGAACTTTTTGGTCCAGTAAATTCAAGAACTTCTCACATGCCTTGCCCATGTGACCCTTATGTGTTTCCTTAGGGCCCTTGGTCTCAAATACTGTCTTCCTCATTCTACAGCTAAGTCGTAAAGAACAAATGCCAAGATTTTATCTTGAGCCTGGTCAGTGTAGTTCTAGGTCAAGCTCATTAAAGCCAAAATCCTGCGGCAAGGAGCAACTCTTTTATGTTATGTGTTTTCAGAATGACCCAATACATTGATCTTACTGGTTTTTAATTGTCACTGACCACAGAATGACGTAGGTCTGTTCATATTAATATTATAAGCAAAATTCAAAGAATCATTTTCTGCTGGCCCTTTCTATCTGCTGTGTTTGGTTTTCAGTAGCTGAAGTTTTCCGTTGAGGTTCTTTTAAACGCCTACATGCAAACTGAAGAGCACTCAAGCTTTGGTGGGATATCACCCACAGCTGGAGTAATGGAGGAAGGGAGGAGGGTACACGCCTCAGGTGCATCCTTCTCTAAAAAAAAAAAAAAAAACACCCAAACTTTTTAAACCACTTAAGCAAATTCCATCTGAAAGCAGGCAAGACCTATCCAGAGAAAGAAGGGAATGAACCTCTTTCCATGTAGGAAATGGATATCAATTCATGTATAACCCAGATGCATAGGATGGGAAAATTTGAAGCATGTTGGACTTACTGTGTGGCCCTACATCTCTTCTAATCAAAGAGTGAAAGGTTGTGAACCATGAACCATGGTGAGAAGCAGTGGAACAGTGTTGCAGCAATGGCTCCTCTCTTGGTGGTTAGGCCCTGTCTTGCTCGATTAAGCAAACACAGTTAATATAGATGAAAGGTAACCCTGATAGAAGTGAAAATTGAAACTTGGTTGTAGGTAGCAAGCTAGGCACAGCTGCAGTTGTACTTCCTCCTATGTGGCAACGGGAGCTACACTTACTGCTGTTTTTGAAGGGATGTAGTTTTTTTAAAATATCTTTTCTTCAGAGTGTTTTGGTCTTTAACATCTATACCATTGATGGGAGACTGTGGAATATGTTAGCAAGAAGCCACTTAGACTTTCTGTGTCTAGTGTGCGAGGTCAAATCCAAGGTTAGCATTTTAATCACATCTGCTATTAATGGTGTAACCTTGGACAGATCACTAAAAACATCTATGTTCCCAGATTTCCTTATCTGAAAAACAAGAGAATTGGATTAGATGATCTTTAAATTCCCTTCCAGCCCTAAAATTCCATTGATTTATGATTCCTTATGGGGAAGTACAGCTTCCAGTTTCTAAGAACAAATGTTTGAAAAAGTAAGCATTTATGCACTATATTTTATATATGAAAAAATTCTTTAAAGATATTTATCATCACATCAGGCAAATATTTACGTTTTGTTAGTGTCAGTACATAATTTTGGCTTCTTCATTTCTTATGTTCTTCAGCTTAAGAGTGTTACAACTCTTTTTAAGATAGTGCCTGGTCAGCTAACTCACTTGGACCAATCCTTCCTCCCCACTCAGTCCGATAATTCTAGGATCTTGAGTTTAGCCCTCTCTAACTTGGGTATAGGTGTCATTCCCCTTGCCTAGGTTGAGTTCCATTTACCTGTACCAATGAAAGTGACTCCTTAGAAGATTATGTTAAAGAATTACTTCTCCTTTTATCTTTCTCAACGTATTTCACTAGTACTGCCAGCTTCCTCTACTTTCAGTGTTGTCTCTTTATCAGTTCCGAGAGAGATAAGACTCATTTTAGCAGTTCATATTCATGGAAGAGGCAGAGGCAAAAGCGTGGCTTAAAATCTGAAAAATCATAGTAACTGTTCAACTCTCAATCTTCGTGGCTTAAATTGGATGCATTGGAAGAATTAAAACGATATTTTCTTCTTGAAACCAAAGAGCACATCACCTTGCCTTTTAATTGCAGCCACCAAAAAAGGTACTAGATCTGAAAACCTTTCTTCTCCCTCAATACTGGAAGAGTTGCTCAAAATGTTTTTTTCATGGTCGCTTTGAGCAGTCATAACTAAAATCTGTTATTTCTAATTTTCTGGATGGCCTAAAACACTGCCATCTATTTTGTATGTGTGTGTATTTTCCCTGATTGTGGCTCTGAATTCAAATAATGAGTGATCATCTTAATAGTCTTTTCTTGTTTTGTAGATCTACAATATTACGTTAGCTTCATTTGGTATTTGTCAGTTGTGGGTCTTTGTTAACTCCAGATACAGTCATTGTTCATTTCTTGCATTTTCCTCCCTGCAGATGATTCAATGAAAGTAAAAGATGAATATAGTGAAAGAGATGAGAATGTTTTGAAGCCAGAGCCCATGGGAAATGCAGAAGAGCCTGAAATTCCTTACAGCTATTCAAGAGAATATAATGAATATGAAAACATTAAATTGGAGAGACATGTTGTCTCATATGATGGTAGCAGGCCAACCAGTGGCAAGATGAACTGCGATGTGTGTGGATTATCCTGCATTAGCTTCAATGTCTTAATGGTTCATAAGCGGAGCCATACTGGTAAATAGTCTCCTTTATCTATCCTTCTGTAAACCATCCTAATGCAGCCATGTGAAAAATGAAGTGGTAGAATGTGGGATGACTTTTGATTAGTTTCATTGATTTTTGCTATAATTCTGATGTATGTGTTCCTTTCTACATTTTCATTTACCCAGTAATTTTTATTCCTGCTTCACCATGTATTTGGCAAACATATTGCAAATGGTATGAATTAAAAAAGGACTGTAGAGAGCAGTGTTCTAGGTCAGCCAAATATTTTTTCTTCGGTTAATAAGTAGGAGTTGAATTGTGTGATATGCTTCTTATGCATCTTTCATATATTTTTGCGTAACTTTTTAAAAAAAGCAGATCTTCTATTGTATTGGGTTTAAATTTGGTAGATGAAAGGATATAATTTTATTACCACTTAAAAAAAATCAATCTTCAGACTATAAACAGGCAATATATAGAAGTGCATACAGATACAACAGTTACACTGAGCCCAGTAGATTCCATCTGATATCCGTTATGAATCCTTTTAAAAGAAGCATTTCTGGCCCTCAGCGGCTTATTAGGACTTGAATCTGTGGCTCTTTTTTCAGTCTGAGATTACATTTCAAAGGAATGGTAAGTAATTTTAAAATTTACATCTAGAAAACTCTTGTAGAGCTGCTCTTGTTTCTTTGCTCTGATTCAAGACAACATGACAACTAAAGTAGCCTTGCTAGGTGAGTGCTTTTTTTCTTCTAGAGAGAAGTTTCCATAAAGAAATCTTATGCTTCCCCTGATATATAGCTCCCAGCTGATCCGGGTATGAACAGAAACTGTCCGAAAGATGAACTTTTGCCATAGGCGTCTAATCTGTGCATATGCTTCGCCACTTGCGGGTGATCAGACATCTCCTTTTTGTCCTTTTTAAAGGTGAACGCCCATTCCAGTGTAATCAGTGTGGGGCATCTTTTACTCAGAAAGGTAACCTCCTCCGCCACATTAAACTGCACACAGGGGAAAAACCTTTTAAGTGTCACCTCTGCAACTACGCATGCCAGAGAAGAGATGCACTCACAGGTCATCTTAGAACACATTCTGGTAAGTGAGAGCATTGAGCATTCTATATCTAGTAAATGTGTGTTCCCTAGTGCCCACTGCAGAAACTAGAAAGAGTTAAGTATGGAAGTTTTCATTTGTCATTCCTGTTCTGAAGGGTTACAACAGCAGAGACCTCTAGGGCTAATTACACTTCCATTAAGGCATTAATTGCTCTCCGTCTGGCTCAATGGGGATGATCATCTCCTTACCATCCTTGCTCCCTTAGAGAACAACACAGTCAGACAGTAAGAGCCTGAGTCTTTTTTTCTGCAAAAAGAATTATAGCCATTAGTATTTTCTTATGGTAAACTTTATTAAAAGATTATTTTCCTTAAAAAGACACACACGCACACTTCATTCAAAAATCTGGACAAGCCAATGTTATACAGTTTGAAAATTATGTAAAATTGTAAACTGGGTAGAAATCATAGGGTTACTTTTGGCTATTCTGGGCTAAATTTTGGGGGTTTTGGCCATTCTGGGCTAAATTTCTTTTTTCATTGAGATATAATTGACAATATAACACTGTATTAGTTTTAGGTGTACATGGGCTAAATTTCTTAAACACAACTTTCTTCTTGATCAGCCTATTTATTTTTAATCTCTAAAAGATGAGCAGCAATAAGAATGCATAAAAAGCAATGTTCTGTCTTGATGTTTTCACTTCTTATTTTAACCAACCAAGATAATTTTTTTCAACATTTAGAATTTCCCTCTTAGAAAAATAAGGCTGAGTTATTTTTCAAATTTGGGACCTCATGTTCTTGATGTTATCTGACAAAATTTTAATTGAAGACTAAAAAAAAAAAATACAAAACTGGGTTTGTTTTTATGTCAATCCACATACTGCTTTAACTGAAACCCAACCCCAAATCTGCAACTGGTCACAATTCAGAAACTAAGGATTAAACAAGTCAGCCCCAACAAAACTCACCATGAGACATCATTAAGTGGCAAAAAAAAAAAAAAGAGTTTTCTTCACAACTCATTGTTCAAAGTAATATATTAAGGCAGAGTTTGGTCCAAAAAATTACAGTAGTTCTCTTCTGTTGCTTTTTTCAAGTAAGATGTAACAGTAGTAGTTATTTTTAAGACAGATTCTATAGGACACCAATTACGCAGAAACTTAACATTTTTAGCTCTAGCAAACCTGCATTTATTTTAACTTGGGATTTCATGAGGATATTTTGGTGCTTTGAGTCTCAAAGTTTCTGTTTTAAACACAGCAAGAGGATTAGAAAATAGAAATCTCAGCCCCTAAAACTTTGACAAATTCATGGGTTACATTTTTTCAACAAATCAGAAAGCCCAGCCCTGCACACAGAATTGAAGTTATTACTTATATATTTTAAGCAATATAGCATTTAGAGTAGTTAGGAGGACAAAGGTGGCCTGAATTGTATGGATGAACTTTTGATAAAACTTTTTTGCTTTATCTTAGAAATTAATATGAAGTAATTTTTGCAATTTATTCTTATTTCTATTATTCAAAAATATCCTCAGTTCATTTAGCAGTTTTTATCAATTTAGCCTAGACTTTTTTATAGCCACTTGGCAAGGATAATCTAAATTTATCCAAATATGTCAATGCCCTAAAAAGGCCATCAGTTTCTAGCTGAATGGCTAACTCCCATAAAGTGTAGCATTCTTTATTTATAGCCAGATAGATGTCACAAAATAAGAGAGCTCTTCCTATTTCATTCTTAAACCACACTAACATCCTTGAAGAATAAAAAGGCCCCATATTGTTCCTTAAAGATACAAGATTGGATCTGGAGCCAAACCACTGTGCTTAATAATAATCATTAAATCCAAATGCTTTCATTTGTGAAAGGAGGCTGTCTTTTCAAAGAATACTCTAACATAATAATTTCATGGCAGACCATAACCTTATTTCAGTTTACTAACTTTAAAAGTAAAGCAGATATAGCAGTATCCAAATTCTCTGGCTTCCCTCAGCAGTCTCATTCCTACTGGATGGTTTTCACAGAGCCCCGATACGCCATTTGTTCTATAACCCCTGAGGGTCACTGAGTGCCCCTGTGCTCTCCTTATAGTTGAGAAACCCTATAAATGTGAGTTTTGTGGAAGGAGTTACAAACAGAGAAGTTCCCTCGAAGAGCACAAGGAGCGCTGCCGTACATTTCTTCAGAGCACAGACCTGGGTGAGACTGGTAAGTTCATGCAGCACTCATTCTACACACATTTAGTGAGCATTTACCATTCTAGGTAATAAGATACGATAGTAAATAAGACCAAAAAATCCTGCCCTTATGGAGTTTAC